CGCCTTTTTCTAACAATGTTGCCCAACTACCTGAAATAAAAATGATTCACAACAACTAAGACTATTATTAAAATGACTCATCCACTCTGTCATGCCTCTAGGAGTCTGACTCATCCACAACCAACAACATTAAATTAACTCTAATTGTGCTCAACCACCAAACCACAAACATAATCAATGCTTATTTAATTCTTCAACATCTCACCACACTAGAGACATACAGGGAAAGCGATAACTATATAACTGCATAAGTGCTGGTAGGGGTGGTAGTTCGGTTACCGGTTAACCGGTCGGTAACCGAACTAGAGACATTAAATTAACTCTAATTGTGCTCAACCACCAAACCACAAACATAATCAATGCTTATTTAATTCTTCAACATCTCACCACACTAGAGACATACAGGGAAAGCGATAACTATATAACTGCATAAGTGCTGGTAGGGGTGGTAGTTCGGTTACCGGTTAACCGGTCGGTAACAGGCCGGTTATCCACTAACCGGTAACCGAAGTAACCGAACTTCGCTCGGTTATCGGAGGCTGGACGAAATGGTTTTTGGTCTAAAAAGTGGTTCGGTTAACCCATAACCGAGAAACCGAAGCCTATTTCGGGCAGTTTTCGGTAGGGGAAGTGGTTATTTTGGTTAACCGATAACCGGCCGATCGGTTACTGATTATAACCAAAATAACCGAACTGCCACCCCTAAGTGCTGGTAACAAAATTTGACACTATGAATGGACGACACATTCAGCTCAATATTCTTGTGCTAATTTGAGATATTTGAATAGTGTCTTCGTTATCGCTTCAAATGAGGTGGAACGAAGAAAAGTATTAGCTTGCTGATCACATACTTGTCCATAAGGTGTTTGCTTGGCAGTCACTTATGAACCATCCATCACAGTGAATCACCATAAGGTGTTTGCTTGGCAGTGGAGAAAGATGAGACTGGATTCCCTCAGCTGACTAGATGAGGGTGGGGGATGAGGCTGGGATAACCTCGAACACGATCCACTTGATGAATTCCTTAGAAGTTTGCATATGTATGAATAGGGTGCAAGGGGAATGTTTTTTGAAAGAAGATTCATTCCTCGCTTTTAAGATATTCCAGCAAAGGAAGATACACATGGATAAGACTTCAAGGATGGATTGTTTCTTTTAGGGACCAAAACCCGTCGAAGAAGGATGTGGATTGAAATGATAGGGGGAGAGAAGGGAAAATGTTGTTTCGGGAACTGACTGCATGAATGAAGGCAAAGAGGTGTGTAGTATAGATTCAGTTTGGTTCTAACAAACTGGGCAAATTGCATTGGGAGAGCACTTGCATTGAAGAAGCGCCAAAGAATGAGCTAGTTGAAAACTCAATAATGAGGGCACCAAATAATTCTCAATCAAGAAGGCGCAAGCTTATTTTGCAAAGAGAGCCAGGTTGAAATCTTTCACACTTTAAGTCTAAGAGCCCCTCCAACTTCGAGGCACACAAAATCTATTTTCTACACCAGTTGTTGGGCCAAGTGATGAGCTAGTTGAGCTTGATGGCCCCTGATCATGTTGGACCCCGTGAATAGGTAACAAATCAATTGCACTTAACTCTCAGTTTTGTTGACTAAGGAAGACCGCCTTAGAAGATCAAAGACCTTAGGCAATAAAGTCGAGAGAGATGTCCTTCGTAGGATGCGACAGGCTCAAAGAAGCCTTGATATCTGCCTGTCGTAGCATTTATTATTGCCAGAGGCGCCCTTATGAGTTGACATCCTTAGGAACGCCTGACCTCGCATTTAATGACTTAACCATTGCTAGGTTGGGTATAAATACCTTCTCTTATGCATTAATGGTAACTCAAATACTAAATTCACTCTTCTTCCCTACCTCTCAGAGACATAACCTTTGGAGAGTGTCTCAAGCCTCACCTGAAGACCATTCTCACAGGAGCTATGGGGCACCTTCTATCCAGCGAGTCAGTGACAACCTCAAATGCCTCACACCCCATCTGAAACATTTCAGCCTCAAACAATTTGGAGCCCACCGTAGGGCACAAAGTGAAGCACTAAGACTCGATAGAAGAAAGTTATGGAACCCCAATGAAATGAATGATGGGAAGCAGAATCATCAAAGGGATGGATTTGATAGTGGATGATGAAGTTGAGCAGGAAGATCGTGTCATAAATCACGACCAACTGATATACTTATACCTAGCAGTGTCCCTATAGGCAGCGAGCTTAGTCCAAACAGGGAGAACATATATACTTATACCTAGGAGTGTCCCAATAGGCAGTGAGCTCGGTCTTTACTACAGACGTGAAGTACTATCGTGCTAGTTGAGTAGTTGTACAACAACTAAATTAGAACATGAGAATGGTTGACTTAAGTTATCGGATAATAAGACGATTGATTCTAACTCGCAATTCAGCTGCAAGGTCCTGCAACTCGCAACTACATCTATCGAAACAGGTAAAACAATTTGCATCATCTGTCCTCTGACTTGTGTGGAAGGTATGGAGCATGGTGGTCTTTGAGGGACATTAGGTGCTCGTTAACGTCCTTGGGCGCCAGTTGATGGCTCGGGTAGAGGAATTGGACCGGGTTCTTGGTCGGATGAAGGTCTACCAGTGGATTGAATCCTAGTCCAGAGAATCTAACATAAACGGTTGTTCTTTTGAATCTTTTTTTTTTATTAATTGGAGGCGTTAGCCAGAGAGAAGATTACAGTAGGGTAGGAGGGGAAAAGATGCCCGTGGTATTACTTGAAACAATGGTTCTGGAAAAACTAACCCCCTGGATGTCATTGTTGATGATCTCCAAGAGTGCGGGTGGTGGATGTGCAAGTTCATGCGACCCGAAGGAATAGACGAGATTGTGCTTCGAGAGCTAGTCCGCGGCTCTATTCCCCTCACGGTACGTATGAAAAATGCAAACCAACCAGCCTTGTGCAATCTTGCATCGAATGGTCTCCAGAATGATAGCATGGGGGTGAATCAGGTCGCTGCGATGCTCTATCAGATCATTTGCAGCCAAGGAATCTGCCTCAAGGATAATGGCACGTATACCATTGTTCTAGGCCATGCTGAGCCCTTCGTTTATCGCCCAAATTTCTGCTGAGATTGCTGAGCTATTTCCTATCCTGTAGAGGAATCCTTTGATCCATACCCCATTGTTGTCTCTAAGTAAGCCTCCGGCTCATGCAGGTCCTGGGTTACCCATGGCAGCTTCATCTATGTTCAACTTATACCAACCATATGGTGGCGGGTTCCATTTGATTTGAGTCATGGTTCTTCCAACTGTTGGTTGCTTTCCATTGAGCTTGGGACTTGGGGAATTCCATGCTTCATTCCATAAGCTTGTTGTAGATGAGATAACATTGGTGAGAGTGGGAAAAGACAGCACCTTACCCGTTTCATGAAAAGTAAGCTCATTTCTTTGCTTCCAAAGTGTCCAAGCAGCAATTGCAAAAAAAAACTCCCATGGAGTTCCATGTGGACATGTGTCGTTGCTAGTAAGATTGCTTTGCAGCCACATACTGTCAGGCTGTGCAAAGAAAGCAGACTGCTTATGCCGAGGAACTATCTTCTTCCATAGATATTTGGCGGTTGTACAATCCCGGAATATGTGAATGCGATTCTCCAATCTGTTGTTGCAGCGAAGGCAACTAGACGTGGGAGCAATGAGCTTTGAGTGCAGCCGTGCCCGAGTTTTAAGTTTATCTAAGCAAAGGAGACAAACAAAAGTGTGCACTCTCTCCGGTACAGGCAGCTTCCAAATGATCTTCCAATGGGGTTCCGTAGTCATATCCACTGTGGTAGTAGCCGGGTGTACTAAACTGTATGCTGTCTTTGTAGAGAAGTGGCCATTTGATGTTTCTCTCCAAAACAATCTGTCATTTGCGGAGGAGAGTCGATCTACTGCCAAAGTCGTTATCTTGTTTGTCACCTCCTGAGGGAGTACATGGTCGAAGCTTGGCTTGTTCCATCTTCCATCCTCAACGATGTAGTCAGCAACACAAGTGCTAAGTATGTCTTCTGGGATTGCAGAATTTGCGACTTGGAGAAAGGGAACCTGCAAAACCCAAATATCGGTCCAAAATTTAGTGCTCAAACCATTTCGAATGTTCCACGCACATCCTTGGCGAAGGATGAGAGTAGCTTTATTGATGCTACGCCAGGTAAAGGAACTTCCCTTTGGTGCTTGGAGTATATCCTAGGTGAATGTTCTTTTGATGAAGCTATATGTTCTGGGTCTCATGCAACAGGTGGTTAGACTCTTAGGGATGCTGTGAGATGGTATTTTTAGCTCGAATCCTAGAAGGTTCGTATTTGCGAGGGACCCACTGCACAGCTCCTTCTTCATCGCGAAAAACGAACTCTGGTGTGGCATCTCGGCGGCGGCGCAATCGACAAGGAGAGGTGGTGCCGCGACGGGATCAGCAACAGAGACGAAAAAATTAGCGGTGGTGGAGCCCCTGCATGCTCTCCCATGGCTCTGTTTTCTCTTTGCCACCGCTTCCTCTTCATCAAAATGGGCGAGCGGCGAACTTAGTGCTCCAGATCTGGGGAGAAGGCGAGCCCGGTGGCGGAGGGAGCTCATTGCGATCTGCGCGGCGGAGTGCTCTAGGCGGCGGAGTGCTTGGTAAGGGTGGATTGATGGCCTGTTGTTTTAGCAGAGAGAGATGGATGGATTGAAGAGGGTGATATGGGAGAAGGAAGAAGAGAATGGGGAGAGAGAGTGAGAGAGAGCCGAGAGGGGTAACAAATTAAGAATGTGAAAAAAGAATTATCGGGTTCGTCGGGTTTTCCGTTCCGAACCGAGTTATATTTCGGTTCGGCCAGACCGAACCGAAATATAATTCGATTCGGAATCGATTTGGTCTGTGACTATAACTGGGGTACCGGTAATCATCTTTTCGGTTCGGTTTGAACCGAACCGACCGAATGCCCACCCCTATTGGAAGGGTTAAACTTCAGTTTGTGGATGAGAAGAACAATAAGATAGCGATGGATAAAAAAACCCTCTTTTATATCGAGTTTGATTTTCGGGGCAAGCTGTAGTATAAGACACGTACTGATACATTTATCTTTATTGTTCTTGTTTAATACAAGCTATCGTTTCAGGGGGAAAAACAGGTAAACCAGTTGGGCATCAAAGCCAAATGGAAACCAAAAGCTGGGGGATAGATGATAATATCGAAGGATACGAAAATTTCACGATTTGCAACTAAATACATGAGTTCCTAAATGCTAATAAAACCACTATTCTTTTCCTTTTTTATTATTTAGTATTTACATTGGCAGCAGATCCAAGTAATAAGTCCATTTTTAGCAAACATCCCTCTTCACAGCTTTTTCGAAAACCCAACACCGATCCACAACCTGGACACAACAGTAGGCAGTAAATCACAATTGCAAAGCACGATCCAAGATTTATAAGAAAATTGATGCTAGAAAGTTAGCCAATCTCCAGACGGCACAGCCTTTGAATAAAATTAGGCGACTGACTGACCTTGATTGACAGCCAAACAAATTAAATTGCAGGAGGGAAAAGATGCCATTATTGAGCAGAAGATAACCCTCCAGATAACTCTCTATCTTCATTCCTCACTACTATACACAGTTTTGCTTTCTTTCTCGTTCATGGGAGTTGCAAGTTAGTCGAAAAGCTTAAGACAAGTCGAATGATCCCTGCCCTTCGTTGATTGCATAGACCAGTTTCTTGTACATTATTTCCTGTTCAAGACGCGGCAGACACCCCAAGTTAGAATACTGCTCTAAACAGTACGTCAAGACAATTCTAAATAAGCAAATGCTCTACACCAACTATACCTTTGTATTATTCCAAAAAAAAAAAAAACTATACCTTTGTAGAGTAAGGAGGAAGCTTGAGGTAATTAGCACAGGTCATCACACTAGGCAAGTCATCATCTGCCGATTCCGAAGGCCCTGTCCCATTAGCAGGTGGGTTTGTCGCAGTTGAAGAATGCTGCACGAGGCGGTAATTAGAACACCAATATTATAGCCAGAGGCATGAAAGTACAGAGACCATAATGAAGTTTCAAGAAAGCAATGGACTCAAGTAACTGTACCTTTCTCACAATGGTCAACTTAGGGTTCAACACAGCAAGACCCCCAGGAGGAAGCCTTGGTGCACCAGTAACAAACTGACAAAAGGCTCGTTGCTGCTCTGGCGTGAAATCTCCCATAATCTCAAGTAACTATAGAAGAACAAAAAAGAGAAACTCAGACAATCAGAAAGAAAAAACCTCAACAAGCAACGAAAAACCCTCCCGTAATGAGATAGCAGCAGGCGTACGTTAATGATTGCAGGGCTCTTGGCAGTGTAACCATGATCAAATTTGATGTGATCGACAAGGGTATCAGCCTGCACAACAGCCAAAAGTACCTTGATTTAGCTACCACCTTAAGGAAAAAGAAAATTGAATTTAAGGGTGTATGGTATAACTAAATTACCTCCCACAGCTCTCTGCGCCCGCAAAGCAAGTAGTCCAGTTCTAGTGGAGAAAATATTTGCAGTGATGCAATATCAAACACCTAGAGTACAACAGCAGGAACTATGAAAGGTTAGAAAACTCAAATTGAAGGCACTTGAAGTCATCAAACCAACTGAGGTGTAGAATGAAGCTCACCTGATTGAATCCAACCCTGAATGCTTCCATTTGGCGGGTTATTCCGGTCCTAACAGTTGCGTCTACTACCAAGGATATATAGTCCTCCAGGTTACTGATATCAACCTGCACAGGGGAATAGGGAGTTTATTTCAGCAAAGAAGAAAACCTAACAGCAGAACTCCAAATGGCACTCAATGTACAAAGGAATCTTCGTCTGAATGACTTTGGATCATACAGTTTGATCTCCCCCTGTCTTCAGAATGTAGTCTGGATAACCAGGAAGAGTAAAATCCAAGTACAGATCTTCAATCTTAGCCCCACGGAATCGTAAATCAGTAACAGCATCATTATTCCCCGAGGATTCCAAATAACGCTTCCTACAAACAATGGCATCCAGTTCTTGCAGTGTCTTCCCAAGCTCAGCATCAAAAGAAAGAATATCATACAAATCAAGATCCTGTATTGTCAAAATCAAAGAAATTCAAATTTTCGGTCAGTAATCCCACACACACAATAAAAAACAATTGAAAGAAGACTGCTGCAATCGGCTTACTTGACCCAAGACAATCTTGTAGAAAGCTGTAGAAAATGGCAAGTCCAAAAGTCGCCCATCCTGAAGAGCTTTGGCCATCACGCGACCAACGAGACGAAAGTACTCAACAGCCTTGTACAGCTGACTACCCTCAGAGGCATTTGCATTTGGAGACCATGGCCGAGGGAACAAACCCAGTGGAGCATGAACAAGCTTCTCATTCCCATCAACTTCCATTGGAGACTTCTCAGACGATGATGATTCATTGGACCTCCACATCCCAAGTGAAGCCTTCTGTAAATCATGACTCAAAAGGGTATAGAACTCTAGTGTGGGACCCAGTCCTGTACCAACTTCCCCAAAATACTCTACCTCAAGCACCGCTTTCTGACTAGAATACATCTCCATTACTTTAGCAGCAGAATCCAGAATGCGATTCCTCGAAACACGCACCTTCTGACGCTGCAACCTTCCAACTCTAACCTCTCTCTCATTAAACGCCCCTCCCCCATCAGCACCTTGCTGCTGCTGAAGGCGATACAGAGCACGAGACAATCCAAAAGCAGTTGAGTAGAAGTACTGCCGGCGAGTCTCAAAGGGAAACAAGAATGGGCACGCCTTGGTCAACTGGTAACACCAAGAAGGAAGACTACCACTGCACAATGCAAGGGCATCCTGCATTTGTCGGGTTAGTTTAGGAGTGAGCTTGCTGTTGATGAATTCTTCAGTAGGGACCTTGACAGCAGAAGCAGTAAGCTCATCCAAACTCGTGATTTTACCCTCTGCAAAATTGTCGGAAACTAGTTGTGCCCTCAGACGAGACGCAAGCTGGTTCAAACCATCCAAGACTCGAAGCAGTGCTAATATGTTATAGGTAGGATTGGACTTCTCAAGATCACATGGAAGTTCACCCTGCAATATGCTGTCTAAAAGTGCATTTGATGCAGTTGCACATCAGATTTTGCACCAGAAGAACTTGTAGCTTTCCCGGATTTGGAAGGAGTAGTAGCATTTGATCCACCACCACCAGAGGCCTTATTACTTTGGCTGTCAGCTCTCTGATAAGTTATAGTGTATATATCACTCCAAAGTCTGCTTCCATCACTGGAGACGAAATCACTAGCAGCATATCTATCATCCTCATCCTCATCCAGCACGAGCTGTCGCTGGATGGCTTGATATATGGTTAAATGCCTATTGAGCTGCTTCCCACCTGCAGTGAAGATCAACCTTGCTGGATCATTGGAGCCACCAAACAAAAGGCGCCCTTGTCTGTCTCTGCCTCCTCTGATACCCCTAGCATCAGCAGAACCAAGCCCAGCCATTGCCGCAGCAGCAAAGGACATAGCACCCCTAGAACCATAGGAGAGACCAGTTCTTAAATCAGCAGAATCAGAGGCCCTACCACCAGCACCACGGCTGCTACTAGAACCAGGAGCTGGATGAGAATGGTCGCCGTCATTTGTTGCCGAAGCAACAGTAGTATCTTCGGGTGCATCACCTAATTTTACATCATGCACCTTTTCAGGCATGCAGACAGGAAGAGAATCATCTCTCAACACCTGTACAGAAGAATAAAGGTGAAAAAGACTTTAAAATCAGGCAACTGAAACTAAAGGAAAACTACCAGACCCACTTTGGTACTTATGAATATAACTGGTGATAACTTCCAAGCATAGATGCAGCTATCATAAAAATAACCACCAAAAGTTTACTAAACGCATCCAATGATCTTCCGAAGACCACAAGAGGTTATCTGCATAAGTACATGCTCCAAACTCATTAATTTAAGCCTCTAATTGCTCCTGCAACATACTAATGGCATCAGATGTCTTTCACACTCTCTTTATTCCATGGCACGTCAAACCACTGTACAGGTACAACAACAATAACAAGAAACAAATGCAAGAGGAACCAAAAGTCAAGTTCCTATAGGAGGGATTTGAGATTAAGATAACATACATCTTCCTGCTCGCATCTTCATCATCTGACATACCATCATCAATCACCAGTTCATCATCGAGCTCAACTGCAGAGATCTCTAGTTCTTCATCCTAAGAAACAAAGTAAAAAAGAAGGTTATAAGGGTAATATATATTTGAACTTATTTAGCATTCCAAACCCTAATGTAATATGCAGATAATCCTATCACCAGGGAATGTAAATCAAACAAAGCATCCCGAATTTGCACTCACAGATCCCAACCGGTACTATTATGACAAAGTTATACTATACCTCCGAGCTAGAATCACCATCCAGCGGTTTCATCTGTGAATCTTTATCAACGACTGCTCTTCTACGGGAAGCATTCCTCGTATGGGGACCTTTGGTCTCATCCTGGGGAGATTTTAAGACAGCCTTGCCCTTCATTTTTGATGAGCTTGTCCCTCTCTCCTGCACTGGTTCCTTTTTGGAAGAATCTCCTATATTAACAGATGCCTTGGACCTTGTAGAGTGGCGACGTGCAGTTGAAGCAGGTGTAGAGGTAGATGGAGATGTCTCGGCAGCACCTGCAGGCGTTGTACCAGAGTCAGAGTTTCCAGCAGAAGGCGACTGCTTCTGTCCAGATTCACCTCGATCAACACGGGGCCAAAGAAATGCTTCAACGGATGCTAAACTTGCTAATGGGTCAATAAGTACAATATTTGAAGAATAATCCCTAAGCGATTTTTCGCCTTGCGCACGACACAGGCGTAACTTGAAAGGTTGAGTCAGAGCACTTAACCCAGAAGATAGACGTGCACTTCCACTAGATAATCTAGATGAATGGCTCAGAACGACTGGAAAACGATCCAAGGATGTCAAAGCACTTTGAAGCTTCTGAACCAAGACACTCAAAGGAGCTTGGCTCTCTTTTGAATATCAGAGGGAAGAGCAACAGATATGAAGGACCTAAATCGTCTGAGTGCTTGTTGCCGAAGCTTAGGAAGGTTAGCTTCAGATATCCTTTCCTTTGAAAAATGACCACAAGAAAAGTAGTTCAGCAGTGCAGCTACAACACCACTTCCAATGAATTCAAAAGTGGATACTCCATCCCCTTTGCTCAGTTCTGCCAGCAAGTCAGTTAACACGTTGATCAAGTACTCTTCCTTTTCAGGAGACAACTCAGTAAAATGAGATCCAGAAACTTTGCATTTTCCTTTTCCTTTAACTTTCTGGTCATCCACACCAGCATTTAACTTCAAGCAAAGATTCTTCAGATGCAAGAGATCATCTGTGACCCCAATATCAGTGGCCCCGGGATTAGAAGGGAAGTACTTGTCCTTGAAAGCTTTAGCACATGTGCTGACAGCCACACGTAAACTGGAATTCACTGATGGAATTTCAACAGAACTCGGAGGCGATCCAGTATTAGCAGAAACTGGACCCTTAGAGTCTTCTGACCCATCAAGATTTGGGTTGCCAGTGCGACGCTTATAACGCCTAGATCGTGATGACGCCCCAGAGGCTGCATCATTGTCTTTCTCGGCAGGAAGGGGGGTTGCAGGAGTAGTAGTGCTTGGACCAGCTAAGATAAGCTGATCAACGGCATGAACCACCCCCTCCCTGATGAAAGCCTTTGAGAAGGTCCCTGGGAGCTTATCCATCAGAATCTCAGCTATCTGGAGTGAAGGAACCAATACATGTGGATCTTTCCATGCCAAAACGCCGGCTAAGAAACTGCAATAGGAAGCATCATGCATAATTTAAATTACAAATTCACCTAGCTTGTGTGCATACTGAAGTCTAACACATACCTAGATATGTTTGTCGAGCTCAGCAAAGACTGAATCATCTCTGCACTGCTGAAGTACATCAACTTTGCGATAACAGAGAGGCATTTATGACGCACAGGACTGTTGACACTAGAACCATAGGTCTGGATGACAAAAAACCAAAACTACTATGAGACTGTTAACAGCAGCCAAATGCATGACACAAGTTGAGCAACACACCAACCTGAATTAGAATAGGAAGGAGGTCCATTCCAAACTGCTGAAGCAAATTGGGTTGATCATTAATTAATCTTTCTCTTGCTGACATCTCGGTACCATCTCCATTTGCTTCATCATGCTTTCCAGAAGAGCTGGTACTGGATTTCTTAATAAGAGGACCTTTCACCAATATATTTGAGCTCACAGGAAGGGATATTGATCCATGTGGAAGAGGCGGAAGAAGCTCATTTGCAAGGTTAACAATCTCGAACACCTGAGTAAGCAGGAGAATGATTTTTTGTGTTACCAAGGATCCAAGACATTTAACACCAATATCAGTCAATGTAAGAGTCCAGATTGATTCTAAGCAAGAAAACAGCCTGGGGAGGGGGGACAAAACAGAAAAACATGAACTGCACAATACCTGCTCTGCTGGTCTATTCAGAGCTGGAGCAGATGCATTAGCAGAAGCACCAGTACCCAACAATATATCTTTGAGAGTACTACTGATTCCAAGAAGCAGCAAAGTCTTAGAACCTAGAGGAGACCCACTCGCAAATGTTGAGAGTAGCCGAATTAATCCCTGCGCCAATACACATGTCAGACTGAGAGAATCAAAATGCAATAACAGCAGAAAAGACTTGCCACCAATCTTACAGTATATGTAGGCGGGCTCAAGGATGCCTGTCCTCCTCCAACATTACTAGTGGAGATGAGCTCTGCAGCTTGGGTTACCAGTCCATGATTACAGAGTTCATCCAATTTCTCTGGTGATGAAGCGAAGGCTTCAGCAATACGAGTCAAACAAACAGAGGCATGCTCCAACACCTAAAAACGTGTATCGCATTATGTTACCCAAGGTCGCAAATGAATTGACAGCACTGACTTCCTCAAAACTACACCCTTACCTTAGCATCATGATACTGAAGAAGATTTGTGAGCAACGGGACTGCTTCCATCACAAAGTCAGCAGCATCTGAAGGTAGCTTCTTGCACATATTTGCAGCGGTAGACAATGCCACTCTCTAAAGAACGCAAAAGATAGGAGAAGAGAACACCTTGTCATCCCCCATCAGCCTGGACGAACGAAGTCAAATTGGGAAACACTTAAGCAAATATTTACCTGGACCCCAGTAGAAAAGAAATCCAAATAAGAAAGCACAGCCATTAGAGCTCCAGCCCTCAGGCAGGCAGTGGGATGCTCCTGAGATATCTTCTTTAATGCTTGCAGGGACTGTTTAAGTGATACCAACCAGATTCAAAACAGAGCAATGCAAGTGAGGAGTGCTTATATTCCATACAGCTGCTATAAAGATATCTTAAAGAAAGTAAATCAGGGAATAAAGTCAGCTAGCCAAGAGCAACAAAACAAACCTGTTCAGCCAAGTCCATATATTCGATAGTAAGCAACCTTGCAACGAAACAAGAAACCGCACCATAATGCACAACAGCAGCACATGAAGAAGGCAGCACGTCGCACAAATGTGTGATTGCTCTAGCGGCAAGCAGCATAATGTCTGCATTACTTTCGTGATTCAGCAAACCAACTAGAACAGGTACAAAAGAATCCACTGAGAAAGTACTCAACGAGTCCTCAGTTCCAATTGACAGCATATCACAAAGCTGGGTCAATGCCTCCACTTGTTTTCCTTCTTCACCATCAGCTCTCAACCCGGACAAAATCTTCTTCAATCTACCAGACTGGTGCGAAGACGAAGCTGAGGCCATTGCCGAAGAGGGCAGGAGATCGTCTAGTCCGGCTCCCAGCTTTCGCAGGAGACCCTGTAGTGCACTGCTTGCGGATGTCAAATTCTGGTGGAAAGCCCCAATTCCACCACCCTCCTCGCTATCATTATCATCATCCTCATCATTCCGGGTACTATTCCGACCACCTTCCATATTTATCCCTAAGCCATCCCTATCCCTCTCTCTAGCCTCCCTATTACTCTCTCGAACCCTAACCTCATGCTCCTTCTCCTTCCCTTTGTCGGAAGATTCCGCGGCTCGATTCCGGCGCGACCTGGACGAGGAAGACGATTCGACAGGAGTGGTTGTAGGTTCCATGGCAGCAGCAGGCTGCTGAGCTCGAGAGACGCGAGAACGAGTAGGGACAGCAGCGGGTGAGGCACCGGCAGCAGCAGTGACGGTGAGAGAAGAAGCAGTGGTGGTGGCAGCAGCGGCGGCGGCAGTGGTGGAGGCAGAGAGGCGGGAGCGTTTCTGTGAGCGGGTGGTGGGACCGGAGGAAGAAGGCGCGGAAGAGGGAGAAGAAGGGGCTGCTGAGGAGGCCTCCGCCCGCTTCCGGCTCCGAGTTTCCATACAAGAACTAAACCGCCCCGATTGAATCCGTGGTCGCGCGATCACGCGGCGACGGATCCGGTATCGAGAATTTCCTGCATCCGGTAAAAGCTGGCACGCTGAATCGAACCAGAAATTTGCCCCCGGAACTGAAAACAAGTAATTCTTGTAAAAGAACCAGAAAGCAAACTAACAAAGCAATCGCGAACGCAAATCCCAAATCTGAAACCCTAAGAAACTGTACGAGAAAGAAACGAATTGGAGGTTTCACCGGCTCCAGAATGGCTTTCGATTGGCGAGGTTAACGAGAGAATTGATGGAACTGTAAGAGAAGAAACCCTAAAGAGAGAAGGGGCTCCGGGAATAAAAAGTGCTGCAGGAGGAAGACGAGTGTTTCGACATTTTATACGTGTTGATAGTGTGGGTTTCTTTTTTACTTTTGTACGTTTATTTGCCCCGTGTTTTCCTTTTTCCAGCGGGATTCATAAATATACATGTGCCCTCGATTTGACTATTTTTTCTGTTTAGGATTTTTTTTACCACGTAGATGCTAGGGCTACAAATGAGTTAAGTAACTTGCGAGCAATTCAACGTTCGAATCAGAAAAAACTTGTTCGACACTCAACTAGTTATTTAATAAGCCGGTTCGCGAGCCGATTCGTTAGTAAACGAGTCAAGATTGAGTTAGACCATGCTCAGCTTGATAAGCTCGTGAGCTAGCTTGACTCGGTAGCTTGGTGACTTAAGCTCGAGAGTTGACTTGTTTAGAGCTTGCGGAATAATTAATTCTCTTTTAAACATGAACATTATCTTGTTAATACTAATATGTGTGAAAGTTAACTATTATTTTTAGTTTCTAGTGTTATTTTTATCATTTAAATTCTTACGTGTACACATTTTTTAGCAAGAATGATTTCAAATAAAGCTCATCTTGAGCCGATTTATCGAGCTCTACCGAGTCGAGCTCGAACTGGATTATTTTTAATCGAGCCAAGCTCGAGCTCGAGTTGGATTATAAAAATTCGAGCTAAGCTCGATCTGAAAAATTTATAAACAAGTCGAGCTCAAACTAAGCAAAAACTCGACTCGACTCGGTTCGTTTGCAGCCCTACTCAAGGCGTTGTAAGTGGTAAACCATGATCGATTTTCCTAAACCGAGGGTGTGGAAAATGCATTGCGAATTTGCATTAATATGAATTATATATGATGGACACATATCTTCCATTCTTGTTACTATCTATTTTTTTATAAGGGGATATATTTTTATTTTTTATTTTGTGATTAATGTGCTACTTAGTGAATTCGAACCTGGGAACTCCAGGTTCTAGGCTAGCACTAGACCAACCTCTTGCTTCGTTCTTGTTACTATCTATATAGTCTAGGGATGATATATGGTTAATAGTTCATTGATAATCGTGTAAAATTTTAGGGTTTAATTAATGGTAGCTATAATTTGATCAATTACTCGAATTAATAACCTCCGGCTACTCGGTTAACCGAGTAATCAAACTATATACCCCGATTACTTGGTCAAGAATAATAGCATGTGATGTTAATCTATTGGGCAGGCATGGATATGGTAGGTGATTTTGTGAATGCAGAATGATGGTGATCGATGATTGACGAGTGGGTTTTTCCCGGTTATGAGGTTTGGACTGATTATAACATGTAGTTGGTTACTGGTTTTGGTTCATGGTAACTGTTAAATGGTTAACGGTTGACCTGTAACGTTGAATCGCAGAAAATCAATCCTAGTTTAGGAAAAAGTTTAATGTTGGCAAATATAACCATTTTTTAACAATGACAAAATAGTCAAACTTAAGAGGTTTGTGTGATAATTATAACCATTTTTAACATGGAATTGATGTACACATAGGCTACATATTGATTGCTTATATTAGCCACTTTAAACTAAATTATTTACTTAGAAAATGATTTATAAAAAAAGATTAGTGATCTTTTTATGGGAATTAATTAACCATTGCCATGACACTACCATCGAGGCTTGAAATGAAGGAAGTGGTGGCAACTTGTCGCCAACAGGAAGAGTGTTATCACTGCCAATTCATGAAGGTTGTTCACTCGGATTGACCCGAACTTGGTGAGAAAAATGGGTGCTACACACCAGTTTTGGACTTCGTCCAGATTTGTCAAACTAGCTAAAACCCGACCAAAACTCGGGCGAGTGGAATGTCATCACGTTTCCTTTCGACAGAGCCACTTGCGTAAAACTCTATTCGACTCTCCCTCTTCTTTGGTCTTCACTCTTTCTTGTATAGCCACACCCAGCAGCAACAGAGAGCTACTCTAGTTCTTGCCAACGTCGTCTCCAACGGTCTTCATAGTAGCTCTGTAGGACGTCACCCATGTTCTCGCCGCCATCTTCCCACTCTTGGTCGTCAATAAAGTCACGCCCTGTCTTTAATCACCTTCTTCCTCTTCGGACTTTGCCCCTGGCCACATGCCCCTGTTATCGCCGCCAGCTTCTCGTTCGCCACCATCTTCCAGATCCTAGTCGTCAATCACCATGAAAGAAAGACTGCCTCCTCTACCAATTCCTTGTGCAAGAAATGGAGCCTTGTTGGTGAGTAGGCAAGATAGGGAGGCACCGTACCAAATTCTGGTAGTACGAGATTTAGTTATTTTATGATTAATAGTTACACTAATGATTTTAGATTCCGGCAGTCCAACACCAATTCCTTTGCCAATTAATTGACTTTTTGGATGGAATGTTTGATGGTTATGCTAATGATGGTATATTGAATGATGCCTTGTTGTTTTTTTAATCAAATGAAGGTAGAGTTGGATAGAGTTTTGCAGCAAGAAATGGAGTAGGCAGCCACCAAATTCATAAATAGAAATTTTGTTACAATTTTCTTTTAATTTTCAATTTGTGAAAATGGTGTCTGACAATGAATCAACGCAACAATCTATTGATAGCAATGATGCGTGTAGTGGGTATAGACAAAAAGAGGATCCAACTTGGGAGTATGTCGAGCAAATCATCTCATAAATTGGAAAGTTGCGGAACACACGTTAATTGTAAAGCATGTGATAAAAGGGAGAGGAATTAACATGTTAAAACAACATTTGGCTGGACAAAAAGGTGAATATAGTCCTTAGCCTAAAGTTAATGACATTCGTGGGAGTTTCAAGTGTTTGCTTGAAGGGTCTACTAAACCAGAGGTTGTTCCAAGTAATCGAAATGAAGATATTGATGATTTGGAGGAGCAAATCAACACAAGTTAAACAATGTGAAAACCTCCAAGAAGTTTCTTTGCTTCAAGAACAACACCAAAAGCTCAACCTAGCATTTGAAGTGATTTTCCTGGAAGAGAGGCAAAGAAAAATGCATATCTCATAGTGGCTAAAAGGTTTATCATGCTAAGATGACATTCAATGCTGTAAACTCAGAATATTGCTAGATGACATTTGAATGACAAGAAAGTAAATGTATGCGTTGATAAGAAAGCTAATCCTAGATGATCAGTGATTTCAATGCCAATAATTATATCAATCATGCATATTCTATTATGTATCCCTATCTCTTCCACTAAATCCATCATACTCAAGTTTTCACTTCATGCAATAGGAATTGTGA